TATAATTGCGTTTTGCCTTGGGTACAAATAACTACCACATTACCTGTATGTGATTACAACGGATTTACTGGACAACCTTGTGATCAGTACCGACTAGTGCAGTGTCGCTTCTCTGTGGCTAACAGTGAAATATTGCATATGAGTTTACTGTCGAGTCACTTCAGAGAAGTGGTCTTTTTGGGGGCAAGTCCAAGTCAAGACTAAAAATCAATCAGAGACTATTTGAGTATTCGTACAGTCACAGTCAAGTCTTAAGTTAATTGACAGTCCAAGTTGAATGCCTGAATGACGACCATTAAAATTACATGGCATCCATGTTAATACTGTTTTTACATAGTAGGGACCAAATCCTTTAAATGCACATTTATTATTCTCTGATTTTACCAGGTCAAAACTTTAAGTTTAAAGTCTAAAACTCTGGTAGAATGTAGTATAATGTGTAGTGGTGCTGCTAAAAAAAACAGCATGCAGAGTTTAAGATATATTCACTTGTTAAATAAAGTTTAAAAACTTCCACTAGAGAATTTCCCTATTGGCTGTGACCAAGATAGCATTTCGGAATTTAATTTAAATTTATTTTAATGAGACTTTAGAAGATAAAACTGGTAAGGGAGAAGGAGACTCAAGTCCATAATTTTGTATTACACAGTGGACTGAAATTTCAGCTCTACATGGTGAGACATTTAAAAAGAATCGACTCAAAGAAGCAGCAGTATGATTCATCAGGTAATACCCATAATCCCCACATGTCAACTGACTGGCTTGTGAGCAGACTTCTCCACTAAGCACGCTGGATTTGCCAATCAAAAATTACAACTATCACTGGCCTGTGCGTGCTAACAGAGTCTACGTAATTCTTTAACAGATAGCATCTCTCATTTCCTTGCTGAGAAAAATGGACGGAGAGAGGATAAAAGAGGGAAAGAGTAGAGTGAGAAAGCAAGAAAAAAAGTGGGAAAGGGAGATATGATGTGAGAATGGAGAAGCAAATGAGAGATCAGAGGGAAAGGCAAGAGGAAAAGAAGGTAATATAGTGGGCACCTGTGTGAGAGAACGAGCAAAGGCAAGAATTTTGAGAGAAATTGTAAAAGAGAAAACAGGAGAGTGGAGGCAGCCAGGACAGGTCTGAAGATGAAAACCTTGCTCATGTTATAAAATTATTTGGAAGTTGGGGCTGAAACTTGGATTTAATTCAGCTAAAAAGCAAATGCAGAGCCTACACCTAACTACAATCATATATTATTCACATTGTCCATACCTATAGCATGCCATTTGCCTTTTGAAATGTATTTCATGACAATTTAAAAAAGCAGACCGACAACTTCATCCACTTTTTTGTACCTCCTGGCCTCCAACCTTCTCCTCTCCTCCCTTCGCCCCCTGTCGTTTTCTTCATCACATACCTTCACTTTGTGTCTTCCCCTTTCTCACTTTGTTTGCCTTTGACTCTGCCCTCTGCCAGTGGTACCCCGAGGTTCGCCACCATTGCCCCTCCACACCCATCATCTTGGTGGGCACCAAGCTGGATCTGAGGGATGAGAAGGAAACCATTGAGAAGCTGAAGGAAAAGAAGCTGGCACCAATCACCTACCCTCAGGGCCTGGCTCTGGCTAAGGAGATAGGTGAGCGCTCACGGGTTCTCTCAGGTCTTGTATGGCAGAAACGTGTAGCCTCTTTGGCGATGAAGGCTTGAATCAAAGCAAACACCTACCACTCAGTAAGCGATATCAATGGGCTATGTTGCTATAGAAATGAAAATATGGCCAATGTATTATAGTTTGCCTATGATGTCGGTTGATTTATGTGTTGTGCTTTGGGTGATTGCTGCCATTACTGCGGTGATAAATTGAATTCACTGAGAGTAAAAGCCTGAATGGTTAGATTAATAATGGTCAACAATCATCCTCTCTGACAGATGGAAGTAGCCTATGTGATGTTATTCAGTCGTAAAACACTAGTGTCATCAGTTTGAGAGATAAAAATACCTTTAACCCTTTTGACCATCTAACGCAGATCAAGTGTAGTTGCTAATGTAGACCTGGCCTTTAAGTTTTAAAGCTGGCAAACAAAGTTTGTATCACTGATGAACAAAAAGGAGCATTTAGCAGCTAAACAGACAGATTCAGCACGGTGCCAGGATTTCAATTTTGGATGGGCCGAAGTATTCTTGGCTGGGCCTTTTAATGACAGAAATTAATATTGTTTGTATTCCTTTGACGGTTTCCAACTGGTAATCTGGCTAAGTGCACCTGGTTGTTTAAGACGCCTTTTACATATATTCTTTAAAAAACATTTTGATCCTATCATGTTATCTTTTGCCATAGAATGTAGACCAATACAGCCATTAATTTAGAACATTGATATTTTATTTTTTGGATGTTTTGGCTGGATTATTATGCTACAAAGAGTTGCAATCCATGAGTTCTTGCATTGTTCTCAGATGAAATACATGA